ATATCCATATGTTTGTATGCATATATATATATATCCATATATATGTTTGTATCCATGCATTTATATATGTGTGGATATAAATGTATATATATATATGTGTGTGTGTGTGGATATATATGTATGTATATATGTGTGCATATATATGTATGTAGATATATATATATATGTGTGTGTGTGATATTTATATATATGTGTGTGCATATATATATATATATATATAAATATATATATATATATATATAAAAAGATATATATATATATGTATGTATGTATGTATATATATATATATATATATATATATATATATAGCATCGTATGATCAGTGATAACCATTTATTTGGTTTTATGCTTTAAAACTGTGCTTTTGAAATTCCATGACAAAGCATATTTTTAAGTAACAATACTTTTTTTTAAAAAAATGTCTTTCTGAATCTGATAGAACAATATGCAAATATCAGTCTTTCTTTTTTTTTATTGTTGCATGTTTAAATCTTTGGTAATCACTGTTTTTATTTATTGACTTTTTCAAAAGATTTTTTTCACACTTGTGGGGAGATCAAGAATATCTGTGATCTTTGCCGATACCAAGACCTCAAGGATTCCTCTTTGTCATTGATATAGATTGAAGGTGTTCATCAACAATCATGGAATTATCAATTTGATTAAAGATTACAATTTGGAATTCATGAAATCTAAAATATTTGGAACAATAAAAATCATTCATCTTCTAATCTCGAAAAAATTTCAGAATATTTAAAAGCTGAAGAAGAATGGACAGTTTAAAGCATTGGGAAGAAACATGGCCAAAATTAATAATGAAAATCCTTCACCCACAAAACTTAAAGCAACTTAAGGAAGATTACAATTACCATATTTGAAGGAATATAACTCACCTTTCTTTTCCTCTCCTGGAATAACTTTCATTAATGGCTGGCCAATTCCATTTGAGCATATCCATCTACTAGGGCGGTTAGCTAATCCCTATTGTAGATGTTTGCTCAGGTACATTTTGTGTTTGTTCAACACCCACAGAGCCCACCTGTGGTTTATACTGCATACCTTAGTTACAGTTTCTGGGAGAGAAGATTGTTATCTAGCATGATCAACAATTTAAACAAGGTCAGCATGCTCAAACCCTCAGTCACAATGACTTGTGACTTCATGCTAGCACAACTATCGACATCCTCCAAAGGTTCCGTCTACCTTGTTTCACTCACTAGGCTTGGATCAACCTATGGTATGATTTTCAGGCCCTTTCCAAAGGTGCCGCACATTGGGATTGATAACAGGTTGATAACATCCAGAATTCACCTTCCTGACTAATTGACCATGGTGAGATTTGAACCCGGGTCTCCTGGTCAGAAAGCAGATGTTCTAACCACTTAGCCACATAATTAAAGAACATACAAAGTATCTGACTCTAATACTCTCCTCGATATATTCTATCTTTACAAGCACCAGATCAGACCAAAAATGGATTATTGCTGCCTTATATGGGCTGGAGTTGTCTGTCTTGATAGACTTTCAAAGGCATCTATGTGGCCTTGTGGGTGATGAATTATTTTCCATCCTACAAACCATTTCCAACAGATACATTTTCTTGAGTTTCTTACTCCTATATCAATATTACCATGGTATGTGTTCTGATGAGTTACATTTCTTGATTACACCAACCCTGACCTTTGCAAGTGGGACTCTTGGTGCCACATACACCATTTTAATAATATATATTTAATAATATTTAATAAAAATATATTATTTTAATAATAAGAATTGTGTTCACAAGCAAAAAGGGATACAGTCAAGTGATTATAGATATAGTGTTTTAGGATTTGTTTATCAATTCAGAGAGGGGATATTTTTAGCAATCATTTCTACACAAATTGGAACAAAAAAAAACAACAAGGAAAGAAAAAAGATAATACAGAAAAGTTCAATATTAAAAACTGTAGACCCCCCCCCACGATGGATTACCACAAACACCACCTATAAAGGAACCTCTACCTGTAATCTCTGCCAACAAAGAGATTCTCCAACGTTTTTTTTATTTTTTTGACAAGGTGGGCATTAAAGGCATCCCTCTTTTAATACGCGTTCGATTAGTGCGTTAAAATTTTTATATACCAAAATTCGATTAGTGCATAAATAATACTCAATAATATACATAATATTCTTCAGTTTAACCATTGTAATTAAAAATTTGATTTTTGTATAGTTACCGATATAGACATTAGTTGCACTAATAATGGGATTCCTGTATAAACATCTTAGTAAAACCTTTTGTTAGAAACTCTTTCAATATAATAAACTGGAATTCAGAAGAGATACAAAAACTGATACAAGGGTCAGAAAACTTCTTACTATGGGTAATATAGCAACAACTTTATGGAGAAACTGATGAAGCTTTATTTGACTAATTCAGATTTAGTGTTGAAAATGTTTATTTTATTATAGTAGATGGTTACAAGCAAGAGGGGAGATAGGAGGTGCTTATTTTATTACCACACTGTGTATAACATGTACGTACACCAAATATGATGCAGGTTGATTATACATTCCTGGGGCAGATGAAGGTTGAAGGCTGACCCAAATGGAACTCACATGCAAGAATCCAATGATAGGGCTAGAAAGCTCGTTTGAGTTAACCATAGATTGGAAGCTAAAGTTTGTTTGCCAACATGAATCCAACAAAAAATATGTTCAATTCTTAATTGAAGTTGACTATAGTTGGATCATCAAGTCATGTGAATTCTGCAATCATTTCCTTAGCTGCATAGTATGTACTTCACCAGGGTTACATACAGTTTTGAATTCATAGGTGTTCTTCTTCCAGACTGGTTGCCACCCAAGGCTATAGAACCTAATCTGTCCTGCTTTGCTGGAATGGACCTGCCTAGCACATTTGCATGAGTGGGCTCTATCCACCCATATATCTCTCCATTAAATGACTCAGTTCACATAATAGTCTTCAGTTTAACCATAGTAATTAAAAATTTGATTTTTGTATAGTTACCGATGTAGACATTAGCTGCACTAATCATGGGATTTCTGTATAAACACCTTAATAAAACCTTTTGTTACAAACTCTTTCAATATAATAAACTCTTTGAAGTGACTATGCCAGTCTTCTTGTGTGTCAGACTACTTGCAAGCTAACCAATATTCTACGCTATTCAGCCCATAGCTGGGGAGAAAGAGATGAATTCATACCTGTAGTCGAAACGAAAGACCAACCCCCCCTACTGAAAAAGATTAAAAGACAAAATGACTTACAAAGAGTTCACACATGCCTTGTATGTAAAATATCCAGAAAAGAAAATGGCTGCCACCTGAGTCAAAATATTTAAAGATGATAAGGTCATGTGAGACTTTTTTTTAGAGATACAAAGTAGACTCAATATAAAGTGAAACCAAATTACTGTAGATACCGTTTGTTTCTTATCCTTGCCTCATGACTGGCGAATTGTTGCTGGTGTGACCTGGAGGTAGTTCTAAGCTATTATTGTTAATGGGAATCGTTTTCTGTGGTGTCCACCACTTGTTTGGTACTGATCGTAGAAACTTTTTCAACACATTTAGATGCAATACCTTTCCTAAGGATATTTGCACATTAGTGAATGTAATGAACTCAACTCGAATCGGAACTCAGCAATATGAGTCGCTATCCATTACTCCAATTATTAAAGAAAGACAAAAATTCAAACAGGAAATAGGAAGTGAAATATCAAAAATAGAGGCCATAAACATAAAACCAAAAGCAATTTCCTAATTAAGCTTAAATTTGAATGGGAAGAAAAGCCCTTATGTGACTGATACCCATTGTGAGCAGAAGACCCTGGTTTTGACAAATATCTGACCCAAAAGTGGACGTGGCACTTTGAGCAGAAACAAGAAACTGGGAGGTTCATTCTAACCACTTAAAATCAAAACCTGCCAATAAGATCCTACCAGTCAAATATTTAAAAAAAACTGGAGCAGACATTTCATCACCACTAACTCAACAATGCCTCAACACCACCGACTCACCACCAGCCAAATGGTGTTGGATGTTATAATGTGCACATCTCTCAGATTAGCTTTGAGTTGTAGAGATCTTGAAAGTTTGGCTGTTTGTCTTATTGATTTATTAGTTACAACAGCCTATTTGGTTGATTGGTGTTTAATTTTCAAACTTTTTTATTACACCAGAAATGGAAATTTTTAGTCAAAGAGGAAAAGAAAAATTTGCACACAAAGGTCATTTATTTGTATTTGATAAGTTTAGTAAAACAGACAGCAACATAAAATTTTGGCCTTTTGACCCTGGTAGCACCCTACAATGTAACAACTACCCTGGGTACATGGCAGCAGCTTAGACAAACTGGGATAGAAAAGTAAAAATTGTATCCCTTACTCTGTAACCCTCTACATTGAGTGGCTCTTGGGCCTTGTACAGGGTGAACATCACTGTAAAAATGAAAAAAAAAAACTTCTTATGATTGCGTAGTGAATTTTGAAGATTTTCCTTTGAATTCAGCTTTGAATTTCTTTTAGGATCTAAAAGATGCATTTCTGCTTCTTGAAGCAGGAACTCTTTCAATATGCTGGCTTAAAAAGAAAAACTAACCAGTACATATCTTTTGATGCATGTAGTTCCACATTTCTAGCATTCACGACTTACAAGTTGTCCTGCATGAGTTGTTTCTTGGCTTTTATATATATATACATATATATATATATATATATATATATATATTTGATGTTAACTGAGAAAAAAAATATTATTCTTTTCATTCATAAATTTTGTTCATGGAAAAGTAGACATATGTTTATTATTTGCAATTTATTAAAGCAGTTATTGGATTTTTTGTGCACTCAGAACATCTCTGTTTTTCTTTTACAATTTATTGATTTCATATGCCCCGATTTTTACCCCCCACCTTATTTTCAGGATGACTTTATGGTTTTTGTTTTTTTTCTTTTAAGATGTAAAATGATAAATCAAAATTGATTATGGAAAATTATGAGATAGAACAGATAGATAGATAGATAGATAGATAAATAGATAGATAGGTATGAATGGACTCAGATAGATAGGAACAGACTGAAATAGATAGATGGATGGATGGATAGATATGAACAGACTGAGATAGATTTGAACAGAAATAATGAACAGAGATAGATGGGTAGACATGAACAGACTGCGATAAATATATCAAGAACTGATATAGACATGAACAGACTTAGATATAGATAGATATGAACATTTTATATATATATATATATATATATATATATATATATATATATATATAATGTAAAATTTATTTATTGTACTTATATAGATTTGTACTTATTGTTTATGTTTGTTTCCTTTTCATTCAGGCTGTACTTATGTACATGGAATGTGGGTACAAAACCCCCACCAGACGACCTGACATCTTTGCTCAATTTGGATAATGAAGACCTTCCTGATATTTATGCAATCGGGTGAGTGAGTCTCTTAAATAATTATACATTTCAAGTTATACCATAATTATGTGGGGGTGTGGGGTCTGAGGCTAACGTTGTGTGAGAAAATAATCCTGAATAGAATATTTGTTGATAAATGTTCATTTTTTTTCATCTATTTATTCAATCATTGAATTGTATATTTTAAATAGATTTTGTGATTTTTTTTCTGTAAATATTTGTCTTTACTGATATTTAATATGTTGGGAAATGGTCTTGTCAGAGTTGAGGTTCCAATTTCAAGATTTTTAATTCTTTCAGTTAAATTTGCCTTTTTCAAACTGAAATTTTATGGCTTTGTTAGTGAAAGAAGAAAAAGAAAAGAAAGGAAAAAGAAAAGATAAATGAAAAGGAAAAATGGACAAAAGAAAATGTAGAAGAAAAGTAAAAAAAACTAAAGGAAAAGTAAAGAGAAAAGAAAGGAAAGAAAAGGAAAAAAGAAAAAGAAATAAAAAAGAAAGGAAGACATGAAAGAAAAGATTAAAAGAAAAGAAGGAAAAGGTAAATAAATAGAAAAAGTAAAAAATGTAAAAAGAAAAGAAAAAGGAATGAAAAAGAAAATGAAAAGGTAAATAAAAAATAAAAAGGAAAGTAAAATGAAAAAAAAAAAGAATGCAAAAGTAAAAATAAAACTGAAAGAAAAAGTAAGAAAAGAAAAAGAAAATAAAATAAAATAAAAAAAAAATAAAAATAAAAAGGAAGAAATATTTTAAAATTCAAACATTAAAATTTACTTCATAATGAATTTTCTGGACTAATTTTTGATGTTTTGGTTTTCAGATGTTTTCTTTCTTTTCTTTTCTATTTTTCTCTTTTCTTTTCTTCTCTCTTTTCTCTTCTTTTCTCTTTTCTTTTTTCTCTTTTTTCTCTTTCCTTTTATCTTTTCTTTTCTCTTTTCTTTTTCCCTTCTCTTTTTCTTTTCTCTTCTGTTTTCTTTTCTAGTAAACAGGTTTAATTTGCCCTGATTTATCAAATAAAACATTCTTGTCACGATTATCAATTTTTAACTAGTTTTTATTCCATCCTATTTTGATTGCATTTTTTGTTGTTGATAAAAATCAATAAAAATCAAACTAAAGAAAAACTGAGGTCCATCAAAAAATATTTTTATCCTTTCCGTCCAATGGTAATAAAGTGTAAAAGTTAATTCTGAACAGTATCCTTAAACAGTTGAACTAGTACCAGTTCACCAACTATGAGATTTCTTTACTTTAATACTAGTAACTTTATGTATCTCCATCTATAGCACCAGCATCTAATCACTGTAGTACCAGTAAATCAGATATAATGGCTGAATTTGTTCCTGACCCTTTGAGATTAGGGTAAATCTAATGTCTGAAACTGCTCCCTACCCTTTGGCAATATACTCTCTACCTTTTGTGATTAAGGTAAATCTAATGGCTGTAACTGTTTCCTTTAGAAATAAAGTTAATATACTGGCTGAAAATGATTCCTACCCTTTGGCAATAGAATAAGACTAATGGCTGAAACTGATCTCAACCATATGGGAATAGGTTAAATCTAATGGTTGAAACTGCTCCCTATCATTTGTGATTAGAGTAAATCTAATGGCTGAAACTGGTCCCTTTAGGAATAAAGTTAATATACTGGCTGAAACTGCTCCCTGTCTTTTGGGATGAGGGTAAATCTAGTGGCTGAAACTGGTCCCAACTCTTTGGGAATAGGATAAATCCAATGGCTGCACCATTTGTTTAGATATTTCTGAATGTAATTCCAAAAGTTTTTATGACTGTAGAAAGATAAAAAAAAATAATGTGAACAGACAAATCTCTCAAGATTGCGTTTAAGTTCCATTGAAAACATTCAGTTGAAATTTATAAAGTCTATCTCTTAAAACAATTTTTTAGGAAAATAGTTTTCTCAAGTTCAGTAGCTGTTATCGCCATTTCAATATTTATGGTGTCTTCCTTCCTAGCTTTTTGTTTGAAGTTGTGTGGAATATCAATATCTTGATTATGTCATTATTTTCACTTTGAGTTACATGTGACGGAAAAAAGATTTCATTTCAATATCTTTAGAGGAGACTATTTTCCTTAGAATATTGTCAAATTGCTTGTCAAAAAGAATTTGGTTGCAATCAGAGCTGTAGCAGAGACATATGATTTTTGAGGGGGGCTTTGGCAAAAAAAATTCAACCTTAAGTTATCAACATGGCTAGTAGCAAGAACATTTAAAATTTTCAATACCTCTAGATTGGCAGATATCATCTTTGAAATAATAGAGAACCTTTAAAGAAGAATTCCTTTTTTGGGGTTTCATGAAAGTTATATTTTCCCTTGCTTTGATAGTTTTTTTTCTTTCTTGTATTTCTTTATTGTATTTTGTTAAAATGTAAAAAATACTACAATTGGTAAAAATTTGTGGGGAGCCATGTCATCCCCCCCTCCCAGGCCCTGGTTGCAATAAGAAAAGACAAAAACAATAACAGTAGAAAGGGTTAAAAAACATAATAATAAAAATGGGATAAATAAATAATTGGCTCTGTCAGGGATTTAAGAGGATTGGCAGTAAAGGTGTACCTTCAAGATAAATTCAGTTTAACAGACAGGAAATCCTTGTTAGATTTTTCTCTTTTTTAGTGTTTATGTCAATGAAATGCATTCATGTATGACAGTGTCAGTTAATTTATGGACTTTTTTTTATCAAAATAAAATAATATTTCTTTTCTGTCATTTTTTAACTTATGTAAAATGAAATTTCCTTTCATTCTCTCTTAAAAACAATTACGGCAAGAATACATTGGTTGATTATAAACTAAAATCGCTGTTAGTCTTCAAATGGTTACTATGACAGTGTGTGTGTGTGTGTGTGTGTGTATGAGTGTGTATGAGTGTGTGTATAAGTGTGTGTATGTAGCTAGATAGATAGAGACAGTGTAAATTATAAATATATATAAATAGACTGAAATAGATGGATAGATAGATATAAGCAGACTGAGAAAGTTAGAAAGACAGATAGATAGCTATAAGCAGACTGAGATAGATAGATAGATATAAGCAGACTGAGATAGATAGATAGATAGATAGATAGATATAAGCAGACTGAGATAGATAGATAGATAGATAGATAGATATAAGCAGACTGAGATAGATAGATAGATAGATAGATAGATAGATAGATATAAGCAGACTGAGATAGATAGATAGATAGATAGATAGATAGATATAAGCAGACTGAGATAGATAGATAGATATAAGCAAACTGAGATATATAGATAGATAGATATAAGCAAACTGAGATAGATAGATATAAGCAAACTTAGATAGATATGAGCAAACTGATGTAAATAGATAGATGGATAGGTATAAGCAGACTGACAAAGATAGATATAAGGAAATTGAGATAGATATGAGGATATAAGCAGACTGAGATAGATTAACAGATAGAGAGATATAATCAGACTGATGTAAATAGATAGATAGGTATAAGCAAATTGAGATAGATATAAGCAAACTTAGATATAAGCAGACTGAGATAGATAGATAGATATAAGCAAATTGGCATTAATAGATTGAAAAAGGGAACATAAATTTATTCTAATTACATGTTAAATTGTTTAATCCTGAAACCTGTCTAAATGCTGACACCTTATCTCTGGAAATTTAATTCTGTGTCACAGAATAAATTAGTAATGAAGAGCATCAAATGGCTAGTACAAAATTGCTCAAATGATCAGTATTATTCAAATAAATATTAATACTAATACTGCTGGTCGAAATATATTTTGTTTGTGCAACATTTTGATGTGCCTCTGAAATCTTTATGCACTGCTAGTCCAATATTTTTTTTTTTTATACTACTGCAATATAATGATTGATAGGACAAATAGGAAACATAAATCCAAAATGTTTCACTTTTATTAAAGCTTCATCATAGAATGAGATATGAAGAAAGAAAGAAATTTTGGCATTTTTATGATTGTGTTTGATTTACATTGGTTAAGAAGGCTTCACATGCATTTGACTTGTTAAGCAGCATTAGTATAAGTTATGGTGTTCTGAGCTTTGAGAGGACGCATCATCTCTCTTTGAGTTCAGAATTCCATAAATTATACTAACACTGCTTAACAATTCAAATGCACATGAAGCCTACTTAACCAATGAAAATAGAACAACACCAACATAAAAATACCAAAATTTCTTTCTTTCTTCATACCTCATTCTCTGATGGAGCTTTAATAAAAGTGAAACATGTTAGATTTATAAATGTTTCTGTTGTATCCTTAAAGAGGTTACAAAAAGACAAAGGTGGTACTTGAGCAAAGGAACAGCAACACGAACGTAGATTAAAGAAAGAGAGGTTTATTGTAAAAGAGAATACACTATTGAAAGACAGGGAATCAGTTGGCAGGCTAGAAATTCCCAAAGCAAGTCCAGGTATATGTATATATATATATATATCTACTGATAGTCAGTTGACATGGGCGATAGGGCGTGTGGGACATTCCATTACAACAGTTTCATATTTGTTTTTTGTTATTCTGTCAGATTCTGATATATATGGTGAATATATATTTTGAATATATATTTTGAATATAAGCGAATTTTCTAATTTACTGTTTCCTTTCTGAGATATGTAATTTTCAATATACTTTCTTTATTTCAAACTATTGTTCTCTTCTTAGTTGATAGAGATGTTATTATACACATAATGTTTCAACCAAGTTCCTTCTGGTTATCATCAGGTGTCTGCTGCTTTAGCTGATATTGAATATCTATTGTTGTTGTATATGGCGAAACAAATTTTTTTTTTCTTTAAATTTTTTTTTCCGTATGAATTTCGAATCCTGGCCGCCAAAGTTGTTATAGAGTGAACAAAAAAAATTTTCTTTTCCCATATGAGAAACGAATCAATCGTCGCCAATGTGTTGTAAAGTAGTTTCTCACAGTGGAGGCTTGTACGGTCCTAAAAAGGTTCGACGTACAAAATGTTAGGAACTTGAAAAAAAGAGTTAATGACGCAGCAATCTAGTTGTGGGGCTCATACTTCAATGTCCGACATCGACTGACTCAGTCAACACCACTGAGCCCAACTGGCAACCGCTACTACTACTACTACTTATTATGTGTGGGAGAGTCTATTAATAATAGAATAGGTATAACAATTGTTTATTGTATTTTCATCCCTGTGATGCAAGTTATTGTTTGTTCCTGCTGATCCAGTGTTTGAACTCACAACCTCTAAATGTCAATTACAAATATATAACCAACTCCTACATCCATGACAGGGCTAGTATGTACTAACCTCAAACCCCTCTGACCACTTAGGGCCTCAGGCAGTGCTTTGTGACCCTTGCTATCTTATCAACATTTGCTCTTTTCTACCTACATTTATATACATTACAAATTAAACTAAGCACAACTGATTATTAAAGGAGGAAAAATTTTAGCGGATTTTGATGTCATTCTGGGGGGGGGGTGTCCAAATCCGTGAATTTGTTTTGTTCATTAAAAGTCTTGAAAGAAAAAGTGTATAAAATTCACTGCTTTTTTCCGTAATGTTGAATCTGTTAAAACTATTCAACTTTTTAACAAGAATCTCAAGTTGGTGTTAAAAATTGCCGCAAAACATTGAGACCTATAGGGAGTCCTATATCATAGCAGTAGAGCCTGGCATTGCCCGGGGATGTAACAGTAAGAGATAGATCAAGTATTGACCATCATAAAGACTGAAAAATAAAATAAATTGACAAAGATTATTGTTTAAGGTTGACGGTCTTAATTAGTTTTCTTTTCTGTTTTTTTTTTTTTTTTTTACGAATTGGTCAAATTCAAACTCAAAGAAAAACATTGTTTTCAATCGTTATGAGTCTACCGATTGAATAGAATTTTATTATAAACAATTGTCTTGTAAATGGAATTTTTAAAGCATTCTGAATGTAAAAATAAAGAAAAAAGGGTGCAAGACAATAAGAAATACTACCTGCCAAAAAAAAGTGAAGTTTGTTGAAATTGGTTGAAAAATGTAGGAAATCCGACCCCATATATAAACACACACACACACAAACAACCTGGGTTTTATAATAAGTATAACTTGATATGAGTTGTCCCCCTTTCATTCTGGCGATGCCTCTTAATTGTGTTTTCAAATTGATTTTGTGCAAAAACAATTGTGTTTTTCCAATTTTTGGTGCTATCAGAACCCCTGCAAGGTAATTTTATGTAGTCCTGTGAAGTTTTGTTGAAATTGGTTGAAAAATGTAGGAAATCCAATCCAATATATAAACATACAGACACACACACACACACACACACACACACACAACCTGGGTTTTATAATAAGTATGATGCAGTAGGGGCCAACCAGACTCTTGCCATGGCCCTGATTCACAATATCACTTCTCTGAAGGTCACCTTTATCAATGAATTTGAGGACAATAGGTTGAAATAATAAAAGTAAAAATACATATTTTTTATTTACACTATTTATATCATTCGGAGTATTGTCCTCATCTTTATTGCCATATTCACAATGTAGGTTGGAATGTACAACAGCTGAAATGTTGTGTATATGGCAATAAAGATAAGAACAACAGTCTGAATGATGTAAATAGCGTAAATAGTTACAACACATCAACTCATAAATATAGCCAAATCCTGAAGAAAGCCTGATCATACAATGGCTGAAATGTTGTGAATATGGCTTTATATGTATATATGACTTTATATGTTTACATCATTTGGACTGTAATCCTAATCTTTATAGATTAGGACTACAGTCCAAATGATGTAAACAGTGTAAATAGTTACAATACCTCATCTCAGAAATAGAGAAAGATCCTGAAGAAGGCCACATCATATAAAGGCCAAAATATTGTTAATATGGCAATAAAGATAAAGACAACAGTCTGAACAATGTGAATAGTGTAAATAATTATCATACCTCATCTCAGAAACATAGACTGATCCTGGAGTCAGTCAGATCGTGCAATGGCCAAAACATCATGAATATGTAAATAAACATGATTACAACAGTTCAAATGAGGTGAATAATGTAAATAGTTACAATACCTCATTTTAGAAATATAGACAGATCCTGAAGAAGGCCAGATCATACAATGGTCGAAATGTTGGGAATATGGCTATAAAGATTAGGACAACAGTCCGAACGATGTAAATCGGGTAAATATTGACAATACCTTGTTTCAAAAATATAGACAGATTCCGAAGAAGGCTGCATCATACAAAAGCTTAAACATCACTAATATGGCTACAAAAATGAGGACATGAATGATGTAAATAGTGTAAATAGCTACAATGCCTCATCTCAGAAACATAGATTGATCCTGGAGTAGGCTGGATCGTGCAACAGTTGAAACATCATGAATATGGCAATAAGCATGAAGACAACAGTTCAAATGAGGTGAATAACGTAAATAGTTACAATACCTCATCTTAGAAATATAGACAGATCCTGAAGAAGGCTGAAATGTACAATGGCCAAAGTATTGTGAAAATGCCAAGACAGATGAGGATAACAGTCTGAATGATGTAAATAGTGTAAATAGTTACAATGCATCAACTCAGAGATATAGATAGATCCTGAAGAAGGCCACATTGTACAATGGTCGATTTGTTTTTGTCGCTTATTTTATATCAAGATGAATATATTTATCCTTTGATTCAGTTTCATCATCATCAACAAAATCTAATTTTTCAGTTTTTATTTTTGTGTTTTATCTTTTCCTTTTTTTTGTGTTTTAAAGGTTACAAGAGGTCAGCACAGCAGAGCAAAGTATGACTGATAATCCCTGGACAGAAAAATTAACAGCCACCCTCTGTCCAAAAGGCTACATTCGGGTAAGACATTTTTCTTTTTCTCCCTTAAAAAAGCTCTTATTTGATGTATTTTCTGAAATTAAGAATTAACAGATGATAATCAAATAAGGAAAATAGGGAGGGTAATGAACTATTTCAAAATCATAGTTATGCAGAGCAGTCATTGAAACCGAGTTGTGCACTGGAGAATTGTCCTGATGGAACAAGACCCTTTTCGTTAGTTTTTCTGGGCATTTCGTTTTGATAGCCTTTTGAAACTGTCTCAGAAATTTGGTATAGTACTCGCCATTGATGGTGTGACCCTTTTGAAGGGCCACACAATCAACAGAGAGTACTATGCCAACACCCAGAAAAACTGATGAAAGGGGTTTTGTTTTATCGGGACAATTCTCCAGTGCACAACGTCTTGGTTTCAATGACTCAAGTTTCTGCAACTGTCATCACCGAGGAAAACATCAGTCTATTCAATAGATGCATTGTTTTTGCATCCCAAAAAACTGAGTATGTCACCTTCCCTGCAGATGAAATGACTTTGTCCTTCTTTGGAGCAGGTGAGAAGAGGTGTTTCTACTGCCTGGATTGTATCTGTGTCTGGCTCAAAGTGATGAACCCAATACTCATCCTGGATTAGGAAACGCTCAAGGAAACCAGCTGGATTTGCCTCAAACAACATTAGCTTTTTCCAGTACGTGATCAGCCTGGTGCGCTTTTCATCAGGTGTCAGAAGACGTGGCACCTACTGACTGAGCAGAAACCTTTGTTCATTGTGCAGAATATTCTCAACTCGCTCACCAGATATGTTAATAGCATTGGTTATTTGATTTATAATCAGTTACCTGTCATCTAGCTCCATATGGTGAACATGACCAATGTTTTACTCAGTGGTGACAGTGGCAAAATATCCAGGCCTTGAGTCATTGAAACCAAGAAGTTGTGCACTGGAGAATTGTCTTGATGAAACAAAACCCCTTTCATCAATTTTTCTAGGTGTTGGCATAGTACTCTCTGTTGATTGTGTGGCCCTTTTGAAGATAGCCAATAAACACAATACCTTTTGCATCCCAACAAACTGAGGCCATCACCTTCCCTGCAGATGAAACAACCTTGGTCTTCTTTACTGCAGGTGAGGTAGGGTGTCTCCACTGCCGTTTCTGGCTCAATGTGATGAACACAACACTCATCTTGGATTAGGAAGCATTCAATGAAATCAGATGGATCTTTCTCAAACAATGTCAGATTTTTCCGAGATGTGATCAGTCTGCTGCACTTTTTATCAGGTGCCGGAAGACATAGCACCCACTGAGCAGAAACCTTCATCATGTCAAGTTCATTGTGCAGAATATTCTCAACTCTCCCACAGAATATGTGAATGGCATTGGCTATTCGATATATAGTCAATCAGTTGTCATTCATCACCATGTGGTGAACAGGATCATTGTTCTCTTTGATGGTGGCAGTTGAAGGATGTCTAGACCTTAGATCATCTTCAAGGCTCTCCCTTCCCCTTCTAAATTCAGTTGCCCACTTTTGCTCTGTTGATAAAGCTGGAGTGTTATTCCCTAATGTAGCAACCATGTCAGCATGAATGTTTTTGGAGGTTAAATTTTATTTCTACAGGTACTTGATAACATCACAATGCCAAATTTTGTCCATTTTCAAAAGAAGTCATTACTAGTTACTTTTGAAGTCTTCTTTGAACAGTCAGATGTCTGTTAACCTAGAAATAAATAATGAAGTCATTAATAAGAAGTGTGAAAATGAATGCAGGCAAGATTTCACAGTTCTAGCATCATCCCTTCATGATCAGGCTATGAACTTTTCAGTCTCACCCTTGTACCTGGAAAGAAACAATGCAGTTATTAAGAAGAATTGAAATTAATGAATGCAAGATTTCACAGCTCTAGCATCATTCCTTCATAGTCAGCCTATGAACTTTTCAGCTCGTCCTCATAAATGAAATGTTTACATGTCCAACTTTCACAATGACTTTTCTCTTTTCCTTTCAACAGTTTAAAGTTGTTCGGCTTTCGGGAATGTTGGAGTTGGCCTTTTGTCGTCGTCAGCTCTTTTCCAGTATAAATGGTATTGAATCAGAACGAACAAAGACCGGCCTTGGAGGATGGTGGGTAAGTATTACAAAGTCATTACAAAAAAATCTTTGTTCAATTAATCGGATTGATTTGTACAAATATATATATATGTGTATGTATGTATGTATATATATTTATATATTTTAGATATATGATTGCATATGTATGTTTATATTTACCACTAATATTATCTATCTATCTCTCTCTCTCTCTCTCTATCTATATATATATATATATATATATATATAATATATAAAAAGAAAACAGACCACTTTAAGGTTCCATTATAATAATTTATTTCACCAGAGCCCTTTTAAAGGACGCTGGATCATCAGATAACACTTTCAAAAATGAAATGAAAGATGAAGTGAAAATTCACACTTTTGACGGGTAGTATCAAGTTTATGTAATTTAACAGAGAGGGTAGGGAGGAGTGGTGGGAGAGAAATGGTTGAGTTTAGAGGGGGTTTATTTTAATATTTCTCTCAATCATAGGTAGTATTGGGGGAGGAGGGACCAGACCATGACCTATTTAAATTAACGGAAGTGATATATTGAAATGGGAGTGGAGAAGAGAGAAAAAGAAAAAAGAAGGGGGAAGTAAAGAGAAAGAAGCTGTAATTAGGTTTTAGGAAGAAGAGGGGTGGTATATTTTTAGCAATTTATGTAAAAAAAGATTTTAATGTTTGATAGTAATTTAAATGTTTAAAAAACCACAAAGAAATTAATTTGATGCTTGCTAGCAATTTAAATATTTAATTCTTTTACAAATAACTTAGGGATTTAATATAACTTAAATACTGTATTTATTAACATATTCATAGAGAACACATTAAAAGAATTTTTTAAAATATAACAGTTTAGCACACTAATATAACAGTAGTGACGAGGATTGTTGAAATGAACTCACATGGAAAATAACAGTGGCAATGAGGATGTTTGAAATGAACTCACAAGGAATATAACAATTTTATATCAATCGCTTTCAAAGTTTCACTTAAAACATTATATACCCTTCATCTTGAACATGAAAAAAGAATAGGTGCATTTACTATTTTTGCATGAGTTCATGCTTGGTCATAATACTTCTTAAACTACTGCTAACATTAACAGAGCATGGTGTGAAGCATCCACTTGTGATCGGACAGTATGGCACTGGTTTCTGAAGTTCCACAGTGGGGATACAAGTCTTGATGCTCAAGGTAGTAAAGGATGTCCACCTGTAATTGACAATCAATATCTCAAAACACTGGTCAAACAAAACCCACATTAAAATATATCTCAGATAATGGGTGCCAGCATTTCAACAATATTGGACCATCTCAAGAAAATTGGCATGATGAAGAAGCTCGATAAATGGGTTTGACATGAGCTCTGTGAAAGTCAAAGAGTTTGACACTTTGAAGTGTGTTCAATGCTACATCTGTGAAATTCAAGTGTTCCATTTCTTGATCAAATAGTGTCATTCTTTATGACAATTGTAAATGATCGGCTCAATGACTTGATCATGACTAATCACCCAGACACTTTCCAAAACCAAAATTGCACCAATAGAAGATTATGTGACTGTCTGGCAGCCCACCATTATCTATAACAGCTTTCTGGAATCTAATCAGAGCATCCTTGCCAAAGTTTACTGCCAGCAAGTGAGTGAAATGCACATTCACTTAAGCACAATGCAACTGGCACTGTTTAAATGACAATGTCCTCTTTGTTAATTTTATATCAATCTCTTTCAAAATTTCACTTAAAACATTATATACTCCCTCATCTTGAACATGAAAAAAGAATAGATGCTTTTACTTTTTTGCATGAGTTCATGCTTGGGTATAATACTTCTCAAACTGCTGCCAACATTAACAGAGCATGGAGTGAAGGATCCATTTGTGATCAGACAGTATGGCACTGGTTTCTGAAGTTCCACAGTGGGGATATGAGTCTTGAAGATCAAGGTAGTAAAGGATGTCCACCTGTAATTGACAATCAATATCTAAAAACACTAGGTGAACAAAACCCATGACAAATTGTCAGAGAAATGCCTCCGATAATGAGTGTCAGCATTTCACCAATATTGGACAGACCATGTCAAGAAAATTGGAAAGGAGAAGAAACTCAATAAATGTTTTTCATATCAAGGAGTTTGACGTTTTGAATTGTTTTCAATGCTGCATCTATGAAATTTGAATGCAACATTTCTTGATTGAACAGTGACTTGTGATGGGAAATGGATCCTTTATGACAATAAACAATTGGCTGAATGGCTTGATCATGGCCAAAGACCCAGACACTTTCCTGTAATTGCAACAACAAAAATTCTACTGACTCTGGTGGTCTGACATTGGCATTATACATTGCAGCTATCTAGAATCTAATCAGATCATCACTGCTGAAGTTTACTGCCAGTAACTAGAAGAAACACACATTCAGTTAAGTAAAATATGACCAGCACTGGTTTATAGTGTGGGATATCTATTGAGGAAAGATTTTTAGCCTTACTTCTGCTACATCAGTGTGTGAGCAGAAATCAGAACTGGTGATTGCATAAACAGGAAATGCATCTGGTGGCTAAAATAAACAGGATGCACAAGAGTCCTGATTGAAAGGAAATGCATGCTTGTGTTGGTGCATGCTGGAAGAGGTGTGGCCAGACAAAGTTGCATGGGCGACATACTGGAAGAAGGTATAGCCACATGAAGTTGGGTAGGTGTCCAAATGTTATTTAACCAATCTGATTCTTGATCTGGACAGAGAGGCTGGCTAGAAGTTCACCGAAGATTTGTCTTCATCAATTCCTGTGTGCGCAGTCCTAACCACCCTAACCTCCTCCTCCCTCACTCTACCCATTTGGCATAACTTGAATAATAAAGATAATTATATATTTTTATATATAACTGTTTGTCACTTCATTTGATCCGAGCAGCAATATGCTACAATAGATGAGATCCAATTCTGCTTCATGACAATGCCCAGTGACATATTGCCAGGACAATACTGCAGAAACTCACTGACTCTGGATAGGAGTATTTGTCGGTTTATTCCCCTGATCTCTCACCTATTGATTACCACTTTTCAAACATCTTGACAATTTTTATGTCAAAAACATTCTGTTGCAAAGAAAATGCAGAAACTACACTCAAAGATTTCTTGGTATCCAAACCCTTAGAATATTTATCATAAAGGCCTAAATAATCTTGTAACTTCATGGCAGAAATGTATAGATGTTCAAAGTTACAATACCTCATCTTAGAAATATAGACAGATCCTGAAGAAGGCTGGATCCTACAACTGCTGAAATGTTATGAATACGGCAATAAAGATGAAGACAACAGTCTGAACAATGTGAATAGTGTAAATAGTTATCATACCTCATCTTGAGGTATGATAACTTTTGACTGATTTAAGCACTGTTTAAATACATTAATTCAGTAATCAAAGCTGAGTCTAAAATTGAACATTATTTTCTGAACAACCTAGAAAATAATTAAATAAAAGTTCATTAGAAAAAAAACAAAAAAACAATTAAGCCAGTTGCGTCAAACAAATAATAGAAATATTTATCCTCTAAGTAAAGACCTATTTTTGGGTAGCAAAGCAAAAGTGTTAAGGAAAATCAAAGAGAAAAGGATAGCAGAATGCAATTTGATTTGTTTTAATCGAGTTCACCCCAAGCAAGGCAGTAAAGTCACTAAGACACAGGGGTGGGGAGTTACTGGGTGTGGAAGAATTAGAAACTGAGTAGAGTATTCAGGAGGTCAGTAGATAGTGACTGACATTACATTGAAATTTTTGAAGATTAGAATTAGCTGGAAAGCATCGAGCCAGAAGAGGGTTTCATAAGTGAGAAGTGTGAGAAAAGAAACTTAGCATAGAATTTATGCTTACATTTAGCCAGCTCAACTGTAAAAACATCTTTCTTTCTTTTAATTGCTATCACCCCATGTAAGGCAGTAAAGCCACTAAGACACAAGGGGTCATAGGGTGTGGAAGAATTAGGAACAGAAACATTAATAACAACATTCAGTTTCAAAGAAGATGCAGAAACTTCATTCAAAGATTTCTTGGCATCCAAACCTTTAGAATTTTATCATAAAGTCATATATAACCTTTTAAGTTGATAACGGAAATGTATAGATGTTCAGAGTCCCTATTTTGACCGATTTAAACATTGTTAAAATATATTAATTCAGTAATCACAGCTGAGTCTAAAATTGGACATTATTTTTTGAACAACCTGATAGTCTTTCATTGGTTTTCTTCATACATTTTTTTTGTTATGCCTTATCACAAGATATTCTGGGGATCAATATGACTCACTCAAGCCCCTTAGACTCCACTGAGGTCTATGGGGCCACAGCCTCACCATGATAGATGTGGATGCTATGATTTCTCTAGCAAGTAGGTTTTATAGGATGAAGTTACTAGCCTCATGCCCAACTGGTTTTGAATTCAGACTTGTCCTACTATTAGACTGGTTGCCTACCAAGGCTTGAAAGTCCACTTTAGGTTACTATTTAACCCATAGCAGGGAGTGGAATGGATTCCGACTTTTTGTAACGGGAGGGATGATAATAAATTGATGTAATTGTAACTTGACCACACTGAAAAATAAGGAGTCATTGTGAACTCTTTGATTTTGTCGATGTTTGCATAGTATGCGCTATGCTAGGGCGATATACAGTTTTTATTTTAGAGTTGTCATTCCCCTAAATTGATTGTCAACTAGGGATAGAGAGGTCAATCTGTCCTACTATTTAACCCATAGATAGGCATAGAAAGAAATGATAGGTGTGGCTGTTAAGGTTTCTGTACAAGTATATATGAGATAAAGTTACTAGCCCCAGGCTCAATTGGTTTTTGAATTCAGAGTTGTCATTTTCAGACTGGTTGCCAAGCAAGGCTAGAGAGGCCAGTTTACCCTATTATTTCACCCTTAACTGGGGAAGAAGAAATGGAGTCATACATTTCCCAAGAGTGATAATAATAATGATAATGATACATTGATGCATTCTTTGATTGCAGTTGAGATTATAGAGACA